ATAGAAGGCTAATGTTTATTAAGTACCTCATACCACTGGTTCTCTCTCGATCCTTTAATATAGTTCTTCATGTTGTGGTGACCCCCTAACCATAAACTTTTTTGTTACTTCATAACTGTGATTTTGCTACTATTATCAGCTGTAATATAAGTGTCTGATACGCAGAATACCTGATAGACAACCCCCGTGAAAGGGATATTCGACTCCCCCCAAGGGGTCATGACCCACAAGCTGAGAACAGCAGTATTATATGCTTGACTTGTGTTCTCTTCTGTGTGCTCTTATCATTGGGCTTAGTGACTGGTTACACCTGCTCTTGCACTTGAGTAACATTCTCGTCCCTTCCACATGGGGAAACCGGAGGCAGAGAGAAGCAGCAATCGAGACAAGACCACCCAGTCCGTGCACATCTGGAAGACAGCCAGGGCTCCAGAGGAGAGGGGCACTGCTCTGTCGTAGTTCCCCATGAGCAATTAGATTCTGACATCAGAAGAGGGTGGAGGTGAGTCTTCCAGTACCAAGGTTTGGACATAGCTATTGCTGTGCTAAAATCAAAATATAGACAGAAGATTTTATTTGAACTTGAGGTTCCAAAGGGATAAGAGTCCATCACAGCAGAAGCCGTCACAGCAAGTGGCAGGGACGACAGAAGGAACAGAAAACCGAGAGCTCACTTCTTCAAGTTTAAGCATGAAGCAGAGACAGCAAGCCAGATGTAAGTGGGGCTTTCCGCTTTCTGAGGTAGACCCTAGTGACAAACATCCTCCAGCAACGTCACAGCTCCCAGACCTCCCCAAGCAGCTCTACCAACTGAGACCAAGTGTTCAAATGCCTTAGATTATGGGGTATATTCTGATATGACCCACCACACCACACCGGCTTTGGCTTCACAGAAAGGAAGCTGCATAGTCACCACGGGACAGTCATTGGTCCTCTGCATCTGCTGCCTGCCTGTCTGTCTGTCTGTCTGTCTGTCTGTCTTAGGCAGGAGCATGTCACCACATGGCCAGTCTGTCAGAGTTTGGGCCTAGTGTTCTGTGTTCAACCCTGACCTTGAGGAGACCAGCTAAGCTCCAACTTCCATTCCTTCAGCTGAAGAACGATGCTCCATTCCAGATCTTCGTTCTCTGGTGTGAGCAGGGAGCATAGTAATGGTTAATGTGTTTTTAAGCCCTTAGGTGGTGTGTAGTTATCACCATTACAGAAAATAACCATTTGTTTTATTGGGAAAAGAACAGGTTCTGGTTGTCTGTGGAGAAAATACAAAAACTTGATCCTCGTTGCAGAGGGAGACACAAAGACAGGCAGCGGGCCCTCCTGCGGCTTCAATGGCAGCCACTAATGTGTCTGTAACTTTGAGATTGGTCTTATGAGCTCACTGTGCTGGGGCCTTATGGCAGCCAAACAGCCCGTGGGAGTCATTTCTAGGAATCCAAGTTAATAAACTGTAAACTAACTTCTCAAAGATTAAGAAAATTAAAAACAATAGCAAAAAACAAAACTACAACTTTCGACATCCTAGCCGCAGCTGCCGAGCAGCTGACCTCTGGCTGGTGGTCTCCCTGGGGCTTTAGCAGGGCAGATGAAAGGGTACCTTGAACCAGACAACTTAACTTTAGGACTGTTCCCCATAGGTTGCTTTTCTTTCACTAAATTATAATCACTCACTAAGCTGCAAAATATTTGATCAATTTCTTGTGACCACATTCGAAGGGCTAAAGCTTGATTGGAAGGAAGAGCAAGAAGTTGAGGCTACCTTTTGCCTTCCTGCCCACTCTCCCTTTTCTTGGCTGCCCTCATTGCCAGAGACAAGGTTCCGAACCTGGTGTGATGGAGAGAAGGATGGTATGGCTTTGCCCCAGTGGTCCTCTCTTGAGATGAAGAGGAAGTGAACTTGAGGAAACAGCGTGCTTACCACCATGGATGAAGCAAATTCAACAGCCATGCCATTGGGAGGCAAAATGGAAGGCCCATGGCTCTAGAAGTCCCTCCTCCTCAGAGACCTCTCTCATTCTATCCATGTCATCAACTGCTCAGACAGAGCCCACCCCCATTGCAAACAGTATTTATAAATCCACCAGTCAAGGTGCTAATATCACAAAAAATAAAAATAAAAAAAAAAAAACCTTCCTGAGCAGAAATAGCTGAAAGAATATTTGAGCAAGCGCTTGGGCATCTCCACCTAGCCAAGTGAGCTTTCAAAATTAAATACCATTGTGAGTTATTCATCATGGTATCCAAAGTGACAAAGAGTAAATCACCCCCAAATCCAGGTTCCAGAAGGACTTATTCTCAAAGGGAAATTAATTGAAGTCACACATGCTCGCATTCAGCTGTTGAGACTGAAACCCATTGTGTCCAAGAAATGACATAGAGCTAGGTGACAGAAAGAACGTGGGACCAAAGTCATGGAGCAGAAATGACAAAGACCCTGGAGTGCCTCGATAGTCTCAGTGACACTGAAAACTAATGCACGACTCTGCCATACTCAGGCTTCTGCCACCATTTCAGCTTTATTATCTGTGCATGTGGATGCGCATGGCATAGGATGGGTACCAACTACTCATTTGCTACACAGTTTTGCATGGCTGCCGTTCTCATACAGCACCAGCGAACAGTGACAGAACTCATGCTGTGGGCCAGTCCTGCATGGGGCCATCAGCCTCCTAGCAGGGGATTCTCATGTGTTCTACAGATGGAAAAACTGAATCCCAGTGGGATGGGATACCTGGATTCTAAGTGGTAGTGCCCAGTTCAATTTCACCCTCTCCTGTCTGCTCTGTGGCCTCTACCTGTGACCCACAGGCCATACTATCTCTTTTCATGATCTTTGTAGAGTGCAGTTTTTCTTTGCTCTGTGTGTCACTTTTTGGCCTAGATTTACTTAGAAGATAATATGTCCCAGCATTTAAGAAATTGCACTTTTTTTTCAGGGTTCATATTTAACAAGAAAGGATCTAACCACCTCCCTGTTCCATGCTGAGGTTTTGTCTGGTTTGAACATGCACAGGACTTGTTCATTCCATCACAACTCTGAGTTCCTTTCTGTAGATCCTGCTGTGACTGGAAAGTGCCGGTTTTGTAGTCACGCCCTACCTACCTCTGGCTCTCAGTCTTCTTGTCGCTTTCTCTCCAGTGACCCCTGAGCCCAGCTTGGGAGGAAGGGGTGTGATGTAGATGTCCCACTTGCAGTCTCTTATTCTCTGTACTTTGATCAGTTATGGGTCTCTACGAGGGGAGAATCAATTTTCTTTGACTGTATGACCTCCACAAGGTCAACCATGTGCCAAGAGTGCACAGGCAGCATGGGCTGGACTGGGGAAGTTTTAAGGAATGAAGACACAAAGTTGAGTGGGTAGAGAATAAGCATGTACATCTGGGAGGAACTAGGAGAGTGGAGTGGACAGGATCAATATGCAACATAGGAACTTCTCCAAGAATTAGTAATTGTACTTAAAAATCTATTGGCTAGTAAAAGAAAAAGGAAGAGGAGGAGAAGATGATGATAACTCTACCCTTGGGATGCTGCCTTGGTCTTACCCTCTTTGCGGTTAAGTATGGCATAGACACAGATTCAATAACTTACCCACTGGAGGTCAATGAGTTCACAGATTACTAACTATGCCCACATAAGTAAATTTAAAACTCAAAATAGAAAATTAAAAATCAGCAACCAAAAGACACGAGAAAGCAAAGCCATAAAGCAATGTGATGGTTGATTTTAAATGGTTACTTGCTACACCCTAGAAGTACCAGGAAAGGGCTTGTCAGCCCAGGAGTTATCTAGATAGGGTTGCCCTGTGGGTAAGTCTATAGAGAGATATCCTGATGGTTAATTAAGGTGGAAAGACCCACCTTGAATGTGGTTGGCATCATTTCATGAACTGGTCTTAAACTGTCAAACCTCAGTAGTAACCAGCCAACAAGAGAAGAAGGAGGAGCTTTTCTCTGTCTGCTCTTGACGTCATGCAATATGGCTGGCTGCTTGAGTTCCCACCGTGGCTTCCTTGCAATGACGGACTGTAGTATAAATCTTAAAAGTTCTTATTAATAAAATCAAACCTGGGGCCAGGTATTGGGATGAACACTGGAAGATCAGAGAATCAGAACAAGCCATGGCTAACCTCACCTGGCCAACTTCTCAGCTGATCTTGTTTCCTCAGGCTGGGAGCCTCTGTGTCCTCATATCTGAATAGCTCTCATCTGAACTGTGCTGCTCAAAACCTAAAAGCTTAACCAGGCAATTGCTTCTAGTTTCTGGTCCTCACACCTTATATACCTTTCTGCTTTCTACCCACCACTCCCTGGGATTAAAGGCGTGAGTCACCATGCTTGGCTGTATCCTTGAACACATGGATTTCTGCCTCTGGAATGCTAAGATTAAAGGCGTGTGCTACCACTGCCTAACTTGTATGTTTAATTTTGTGGCTGTTCTGTCTCTGACCCCAGATAACTTTATTAGGGTGCACAATATTTTGGGGAGCATGATACCACCTCAATGGACTGTACCCTGGAATCATATTCCAAATAAACTCTTTCCCCTTAAGTTGCTTTTCTGTGTGATAGTTTGTCACATCAACAGAAAAGAAATTATGACAAGCAATAAAATCAGAACCCCAATGTCTCAGATGGCCTCCTTTTCTTTCCTCTGACACAGTCACATGGTGCTGTCAATGCCTGCCTGTGGATGTCATCAGCTCCATAGGCCATGAGTTCATGGGAAGCAGAGCTCTGCACACCCCACCCCTCACCACAGTCATCTAGGGTAAGTGAAATAGTTCTTCTGCCTTGAAAGATCTCCTGTGTATAGGTCAGCCTCCCGTAAATCCAAAATCTTTATAATATTTGCCAACCAGTCCTTGGCAAAGACTGAAGGCAGCCTGCAATGGAGCAAGTTCTTTCTTAGTCCATGCCCACGGCACACCCTAATCCTCCCAGCTACGACCACCTCCCACCCCCCCCCCCCGTCAAGTGCCCACTTGCCTGAAACACACTGGCTATGATGTTTATTACCCAACAAGGACAATATTGTTATTGATAGCGGCAATAAGGATGCCATCAAACATGAATGCTCACATTCAGCAAGGGCCCGTCAACTGATTGTTTATGTAAATGCAAGCATTCGCTCATCATCACACCCATTTTTGCAAAGAAACAATCAGCCGGGCGGGCTGTTTCTTTCTGTAATATGTTTTTAATATTCAGTTCACTGGAAAACAATCTGCAACAAAAGAAAAATATATTAACGAGTGTACAGCTAAATCAAAATTTATGGTAAACACAGGGCCAGAAGATCGGTGGCTGGCCCTGTGCCCTAGGAAAGTCAGAGGGGCCTGAAATGCTGATGCCACTCTGTTGCTGTGCCTTCCACTCAGCATTCAGTGGAGAAGTCCATTGCCTGGCCTCATAACTACCCCTACACCTGGTCTCCAGAGATCTCTATCATAGAGGCCACAGGAAGAACATATTTACATGTGTGTCCTGTCCTGTGTAACTCTAGCAAATGAGAAATTGGATTCACCTTAATTACACTTCTGAAAAATGTATCTATAGTCATCATGCCAATGGCCACAGCCCTTTATACTCTTATGAAGAGAGGGACTCATTCTATCCAACATGTGTGGTTCAAACTGAAGTCGTCAGCTTGTTTTAAGGAAAAAGAAGGCCACTGAATTATTCTCTACTAGACCACACCTCTGGAAAGGGCCATACTGTGGATAATTTCTTCTTTATAAGCAATGTAGTCTCTACTTCACTACCTGTTCCTGCCCTTTGTGGGTATAGACAGCAGTCAGCAACACATCAAAAACACAGCTGTCTACACCTGGAATGAGTTTTCATCTGTGGAACGGACTCAGATCATACACAGTTTGCCAATCACTAAACTGTTTGTCACCTGAAGTGTGACCCACAGACCCTGAGCCATTACATTCTTCTCAATGGAGCTGTTCTTTGGACTAATAAAAGGGTCAGCTTCTCATATTTTATTGTTTAAGGATATTCCTCATACACATTAGTCCTGCACGTATGTCAGCAAATTCTGATGCAAGAGAAAAAAAAATGTAAGATTGAAATCAGAGTTTTCAAGAATGTGTGTGAGTTTCCTTGGCACCGGCCTCTCTGTACCTGTCTGAAGAACTCTTGTTTTCGACGATGCTGTCCTGGTATGTGTTGTTCAGCAGGCCCCGGGATGTTGGAACCCAAACCTGTTTTCTCTCCTTGATGTTGGCCTACTGCTGTGTGTTGGACTAGAGTTCAGAGTCACACCCAGCAGGTTGGATGAGAAGCTCACTGCTAACGGGTTGAGCTACCTTCTCTTGACCTGTTGGAGACTCACCCAGAAGCACCCTGTTGCCATAATGGGAGGGCCACTTTGAGGAAGAGACAGGAAGTCCCAGTCCTGGGCTTCACCCCTCAGAGAGCTCGGTGGTCCCGGGGAATTGGCTTGCCTTCAGAATATCCTCAGATCTCCCCTCCTCAGTCAGGGAAGGAGTCAGTTCCCGTTAGAGTCCCCAGAGACTTCTCCTTCTGCTGTTTCAGTCCTAATCACATTCCTGGTTTCTGTCTTTAAGGGGAGATGGGACATGGGACGCGGAGGCAGAGTCGCAGGGTGAGGACTGAGAGGAAGAGCCCTCCCCATTCTGCCTTGAACTCCACTCTGAAGTTTAACGGCAGGAAAAGAAAGACTGCTACATTTTATTTCTGGACTCCAAACCCCGGGGGCCATGCCCCTGGAGGAAGCCAGGCACTAGGCTCATCCCTGAGCTTACCATCAGACACCCCAGGCCTGCTCTGAACTTCTGTTCCACCTCAGTCCTCACGGGACTTTAAGCAGCCTGCCTTCTTCCCTGTCCCGCCCTCAGTTCCCCCAAAGTGTCATGGGAGAGGGGGAGGTTGACAGAGCACTTTAGAGAAGGTTGCGTTAGAGTAGTTTGAGTGACATCACTACTACCTCCATCAAGGGTACCCGCACAAAGCACATGGGCAAAATCAGGTTACCTGAGGACTATGAAGTATGCCACATAGCTGGTAAAACCACTGGGAAAAAAGGTAGCATGTTGTTAAGTGTTGCCTGGGCAAAATGGGGGTGCTCTCAACCTACCTCTGTCTAAGACATTTGGAGACATGGATGTGCAGTGTCTCAGATATCACAAAACGCATTTGACATGTCATACTTAAAAAGGAAAGCAGTGATGCTCCTACAGGGGTATACCTCACCCTGGAACCGGGTGACAACCTCAAGCTATGCAGAGCCAACACGCTGAGCATGGCAGGGCAGGGCAGTCTGTGTCGCCAACGGGGAGGAAGAAGCCAGCTTTGATTCTGAAAGTTTGCATGGAGATTTCAAAGAAAGCATGTCTTTGCTTTCTTGAAAACGTATCCAATTGAATTTCCTTTCAAAGGAGAACTGAGTGATTCCTTCATTTCGGCTTCATAAATACCATCTCTGCACAGCGTATTACGCACATCATTTATTCAGCAGATACCATAATGTATTCCGGGCTGCTCTTAGGGAGAGAAATTTCAATATTAGATAAAAATAGTGAGATGGGAGCGGTAACTGTGTTTGTCTGGTACACAGAGTAAATAGGATTGTTAGCGATTGCTAAAGGCTTCGGGGAAAGATAGGGTAACACAGATAGCTAGTGCCGGATGGGGAGTGAAGCAGTCACGGGATGCAAGGGAGCTCATCTGCTACCGTACACTTCCAAACAGGCCCAGAGACGAAGCCTTCCTTTCTTAGACCTGCTCGAAAGAATAGCTGAATGCTATCCTAATGAGAAATCTACCCAGGCTGGGATGTATGTCTTCCCTCCTCATCCCCCCACCCCCATATTGCTCCCCTTAGGCATTCACGAACACACACTCCCAATAACCTTCAATGTCACACAGAGAATCAGAGGTCTTGACTAAACTCCCCTCAACAGGCCAGCTGGCATGGCTGTTGCCCTCTCTGAACACGAGTCCTCTCCCACCTGCACGGACAGGGGCTTGACTCCTGTGTCCTTCTTCCTCCTCTTGGTTCTGCGCTTCCGAGGTGGCCCATACTCTGAGTTTCCTATGGACACGCTCAGTCCTCACAGCATTTGGGATGTAGTCAGTAGCATCTTTCCACTCGACGAGGAATGTCTCCATTCTACAAGTGAAGAAATGGATTCGGCAGGCCCAGGGGATTTAAATGAGAGCCCAGGGTCACACCATGGAAGTGGCTGAGCCAAAACTGCCCCTACACTCTAGGAAAGCGTATGATATCCACACTGGGCATTCTGTCACTATCTTTGGATAAAAGGCACCAGGTTTGACATCTAAGAACTGTTAGCTGGTCTAATCCATAAAGAGTTTGCTCTGCAAGCATGAGGACCTGACTCCCATCCCCAGAACTCATGGCAGCACACACTGGAAATCCTAGTACTGGGAGGTGGAGACAGGAGGATCCCTGGACTCAGTGGCTGGACAGTCCAGATGAATTGCTAAGCTCCAGATCCAATAGGAGACCCTGCTTTCAAAAAAAAAATGAGAGGGATAGTGATGGAGAAAGATCCAATGTAACCTTTAGCTTCTATGTGCATGTGCACACACATAGATGTGCACTATTAGGCACACAGAGCACACACATGAACTTGTACACACACACACACACACACACACACACACACACACACACACACATACACACACAGAGACAAAGACAGACAGACAGAAACAGAGAGAGACTGAGGAGAGATCTAAGGAGAGAGACTCTGGATTATTGTACTCAATCTGCTCCCAAGCAGTCTCTCATCTTTTCTTCTCAGCCACAGACAAAGACCTAGGGAGATATATACGCATTTCACCATGCACGGCCCTGACTATCTCCTTCTTGGCTTTTTTTGTGTGAGACCTCCAGTGGAACTCTGCACAGGAGGACCTTCAGACCCTAGGGAACATCGGCCGTGCAGACCAGAACTTCTTCTACTGGCCATTGTTGGCACCTCATTAGGAGACTGCTGGTTTCTGCTCCCACCAGTTAGAGGTTTCCTGATGTGGTTTGCTCAGGTGTTCTGGCAGTTTCAAACCTGGGGAGCAGGACCCAAGCCCAGTATCCTAGATGAAGAGAACAAAATCATGTGTGTAGGAAGGCCTTTCATCTCCTTTTATCGACTGCCCCCCACCTTCTGCACAGAATTCCACACGGAAGCAGAGCAGGTACCACCCATGGCTTTGTATAGCTTTCACCTCCTGGAGTCTCTTTCCCCCCTCTCCCAGGATCATGCAGAGCTAGAGGCCTTCCTCTATGCAGATCTGTTTAGCTCCCACTATTTCTGCAAAGATATTTTCCTAATTCTGATGGGCAGAGTCTGAAAAACTCAGATATTGTTTTTTGGTTTTTTTTTTTTAATTTAAGCCAAAGAACATCAGATTCCAAATTTTGCATTCTTGCCAGTATGCTCAGTTCCTGTGCCCTGAGTGGAGGGGATGAAAATATACTTTAAGCTATACTATATAAAATTTAAAATATACTTGGAGCTGAAGTTTCAATCTCTCCGTCTGTCAAAAATACTCTCCAAGCTGATTGGAGAAGTTGGGTTATCCATGCCTTACCAATAAAGGCAGGACACAAGGCCCACACCCAGAGTTGCCAGGGAACTTTGGGTCTTCTACAGGAGCAGGGAATGCTGGGAAGTAAATCTGGGTACACAAAGGGAACTCAGCCTGGACAAGTCCAAAGGCTTGGATTCACACGGCGGCACTAAGTTGTGTTGTTGTTGAATGCTTGGCATTAAAGTTAAAGCCTTGTGAGTCCAGGACACGTGCTTGCCTCCAAGCCACATCAGCCTTTTCCTGGTGGTCCTCTGTTTGCTTGCTTGCTGAGACACGGTTTCGTGTATCCCAGGCATTCTTCTAACCTGACATGTAGCCAAGATGACTTTGCACCTCTCCTCCTGCTTCTTCCTCTCCTGTGGGAATTCAGAAGTGGCTACCACCACCTGCTTGTGCCATCCTGGGGACTGAACTCAGGGCCTTGTGTGACCTAGACAAGTACCAAGTCACACCCCCAGCCCATTAATGGTCTTTTGAATCCGAACCCATGTAGTAGCTCGGGCTTGGAAAGGCCAGACCTAAGAGCCCCTAGGTATTCTTAGCCTTCAACATTCTACTCACTCCCTTTTTATGAAACAATGGGTCCAGAATGGAGGAAAGAGAGTTTCATATGCTCAGACCTGGGTTCAGCTCCTCCTCTGTGTTGCTCCCTGAGTCTGGAAGGGTCTCTTGAACTGTGAGATCCACTTTATTCTGTAGATTGAAGGGATGAGACTAGAAGAGTTTCCAGTTTTAAAACTTCCCGTCTCCTCTACTCTCCATGCTGTCCTCAAGAGACTCCAGGGCCACCACAGAATCCCAGCCTGCACAGTGAAGCCTGGACTCCTCCTCAGAATGCTCCGTGTGGATTCGGGGCAACACCTTTACGTAAGCCTAGGCAGAAGGATTCTAAACATGTTGGAGTGTATTAAGCCCACTCAGCATTCCACCCTAGACTGCATCTCCAAGTCACACTGGCCTCATCCAAGTCCCCAAGAAGAGATCTATGGTCCTTCCTTAAGCAAGGGAGAGGCTTCCTCTCACCCCCTTGAGGGCCACATTGCCCTGCTACACTTCACGGGGAATGAACAAAGTCAGAGAGCCAGAGGGAAGGAATGAGGCCTAGGCAAAGTAGAGAAAGAAAGGCAGAGGCCAAGGATGAAGAGAAGGACCAGGGAGACAGAGGCAAACAGGCAGAGGCGATGGGAAGCCAGGAAAGGGATGGTAACAAAGGGGGTCATCTGAGAAGCAGGCACAGCAGGAGGCCAGAAGAGGTAAGTGGATGGGACAAACCACAGTCTGAGCCACTGGGCTTTGCTCATCGGGACCCCTAAGTTAATAATTTCTGCTAAACTGGACTGGAACTCATCTACATTTCCGAGACAAGCTACCCTACTTACTCCACCCCACCCCCCAGAAGGTGATCCTTCCTTTCGGCCTGTACAAAGACTCTCTTATTCAGACCTAAATGTGTGAGAGAGAAGAAGATGCAGATGGGATGAGGAAAAGGTCCACCACCCATGGTCCAGGACCAGGACTATTCCAACCTGGCTGCTGGTCTCCACACTTCATCCCGATCTCACTTGAAGATGCTCAGCTACAAAAGCACAAAGAAGATTCAAACATGGGAGGGAAAGATGCTCTCTCTGAACCAGACCTGCCATGGGACCCAAACGCCTCAGCAAGCTGTCTTGTTACTGCAGACCAGTGACAATGCATGTTGCAAAATCACACAAGAGAGTCAGGAGTGCCTGCAACCCGAGCAATGTACAGAGGTAGGATTTTCCTACCAGGTCATTTGACCAGGACTGTGCAGCCAGCTTCAGGGGTAAATGTGAGTAAGGACACTCAAAAATCAAGCTGAGGGCAGGTGACCAGGCAGTCTGTACCCTGGCAGATCCTTGGGCACAGGCACATGTCTGCATTGTGTTTCCTTTTTTAACTTACCTTTGCTTGTCCTGCCTTGGATTTTGCCCCTACTCCCCATGCCCTCTTCTCTCATTCTTAATAAGTAAGAGGGACAAGGAACTGCAAAAGGAAAACATGTCGAAACGTTGAGAATTCGGAAAAAAAAAAAAACATCTTTCCAAACTGTGCAGTTTGGTACTGGCAAGATGACAAGGGGGCCCTGCATCCTGGTGCGGATAGCGCTGCAAAATCCCACAGCTTGAGCCTGCAATATATGTATGCTTTATGCCAAGCGCTAAACCAGTGCTTTTAAACAAATGATAACCACCACCACGCTGCTGCTCCCAGGACCAGGCCTAGGGAATGGATTTGTAAAGGGCCTCTGGATTCAGGCCAAGACACAAGGTCCACCTTGCTCTTGCCTACCAGCTCTGGTACCCAGCCAAGGACTGACCGACACCACAGCCTCAGCTCCCGGGTCTGCATCCACACCGGTATCAGGCACCATCCAGGACTTGGATTCCATCCCCCTTGTCAGGCATGTGGGGTCCAGAACATCAGACAGCATGTTTCTCTGCACTCAACTTCATAAACTTAACTAATAATTTCATTCGCCCCATGATAGAGCCACCAGCTCATGCCGCAAGCCACTTAAATGAAACGGGTCATAAAAACCCCCTTCTCTGCCTGCGCTTGATGCCATCGTTAAAAAAGAGAAGGGATGACAAAGTGAGAGGGGGAAACGCCGCCGTGGTTCTTTTATGTGAAGATTACATTTAAAAATAACCGGCTAACAGTCTGCACTTTTCTGGGGCCTGACGTCTCGAAACGCATTTAGATTGATGCAGGCTGGGGCTGAAGTTCCCGAGCTCAGTAAACAGTCAAGTGTTCTTAATAGAAATTGCAGTTTCCCGACATCTGTTAGGGAAAAGGGAACGGGCGAAACAACAATTTAGAGTGAGATTGGTTTTGTTAAATGCATTTAAATTCCAAGATTAGTGTGTTCTTTCTTTTTCAATTAGCATTCACTTGGAGAAAGGTTACAGATGAAAGGGCTGGGGAAGACACTTGGGTTTGGGGTGTTGGGTTTTTTTTTTCCGTTTTCTTTTTCTTTTCTTTCTTTTTTTTTTTTTTTGGTTTGGTTGTTTGTTTTTTCTCACTACCAGGGCACTCTAAAGCACAGCACAGCTAAAAACAGAGAGGGAATATAGACTTAAAGGCATTTAACACCAATGCAGAATGGAAATTGCAAAGCTTGAAGGAGAATCATTCAAAAGAAAAGACGGGCAGGTGTTAAAATAAAGTGAGATTGTGTCCAGTTTTCACGATCCTGCCCTCTGGGTAGAAAAAAATAAAATGAAATGAAAACAACATCATACACTGATTTGGGGAAAAAATACAGAAGATGTGTGTTTTCTAAATCGGCTACCAAGTAAATTTGTGTATGTGTGTGTGTATGTGTGTGTGTGTGTGTGTGTGTGTGTGTGTGTTAAACACGCCACAGATCAGTCTGAGTGTGTAAGGAGCTGTAACCAGCTCCTTTTTTTTCTTTATAGGAACATAAACAGAGCCAGAAAATCTAAGGAATGTGTCACCTGTTTTACTGCCATTAAATAAACCTCATCTGCTGCCAAGCTGTTTGGGGTGACATTTGTTAAATAAATACATTTTGTGGAAAGCTGGGATGCTAACACAGAAACAGGCCCCCAATGTTCTCAGATAAGTTCCATTTGTTTCCCAGGGCTCTGAGCCCTGCCCTCAGGAAAGCACACCGTGGAGTACTTGGACCCGAAGCTACACAAGGGTGTTTGGGTTTTAACCTTTCCCAGCTTTTGCCTCTCATGGCTTGAGTCCTCTGTCTCCCAGCTCCTCTCTTCTTCCTCCCTCTCTCCACAAGACATGCTTGTTCCTTTTTAAATTTCCTTTCTCATACTTTTATATAATTTTTTAGAATTATATCCGCATGCATATCTTGTGCATGCAAGCCTGTAACCTTTAAAACACTGCTTAATCCTCATGACTATTTCAAAATATGCATATTGTGATTTTGTTTCCTGGGAAGCCATGGCTACCGTTTCTAATTAAAAAGCTAATAAATTAATTAAGAAATAATGTCGACCAAGATGGTTCTCTAGAGTATCTCCGTGGACTTTGAAAGACACCAAGATGATTGCTGTTTCTGGTGACTCTGTGTGTGTGTGTGTGTGTGTGTGTGTGTGTGTGTGTGTGTGTGTGTGTGTGTGAAGAACTTTCACAGAAAATGTAATTGAAGAAAATAAGGCAGCTTTGAACATAGGGCAGGGAGACTTCAGGGGTTGTCTATCAAGGCAGAGCTCTTCAGCATCCCCTCTCCCAATAAACAGAGCACACATACACACCCTTAACTAAAGAATTATGCAGTTCTAGAACATTCTGCAACAAGACTCTGGGCACCAGGATGCCTCTGTAGGCAGGCTTCCTCTGAGAAATTTCAATGCCAATTCCTTTCAATTATCTGTCAATTTTCAAAATGCAAATAGAAACATTCAGACATCACTTTGGTACTCACCAACTGATTTCTTCCAAGCACCCAGACCATAAGCAAATGCGATTCAATATGCTCCCTTCTCTTTTTTAAGTAGAATTAATATTACTGAGCAGATTTTGGTCAGCTTCCAGGAACCCAGTGTGTGGAGAGGCAGGATTTTAATTTAGAAGCACAAGTTGGTTTGAAAAATGTGAACTTAGCCCAACTTTCTTTGTTTCATCTTTCTTGCTAGACTTACTTCTCTAGAAAATTCCTCAACTTTTTGATTATTAGGAATGTTTTGAATTTTTATGTTAATGGCAGAAAGAAAGTCTAACAAAGAAGAAATGAGCCTGTCATCTAAGCTGAGACGATAATCAATAATGAAAATTCAGGGATGACACGACAGCCTCATCTTCTATGCACATACATTTTGTAAAGTTGAGTTCACACTCTCCTCAGATGGGTGGAGTCTCTGCTTAGCCCCCAAACTATCAAGTTCCCTTATGTCATTAACATTTCTTTGTAATAGCAGCCTAATATGGATCTACAAAATTTTGCCAATTCTTTTACCTCTTTCGGGTATTTTATACCCTCTGATTTTTTTTTCTTCCTGACTGGAGGTAATGTTTAAATAAACCAATTCGTACAAGTAGCTATCTATGTTGGATTACTTGAGTAGAACGGATTCCTGGAAATGGAATTACTAGGTCAAAGGGTACCAATGTATTTAATGTTCCCAACACACACTGGCAAATTGCCCTCCATAGAAATTGTATCAATTTGCCCTCATGCAAGAAGCCTGAGGGGCGAGTTCTCTGTACCAGAGGGTTTGGGTTTTAAATCTCTACAAATTTGAAAATGTGAAGAAGGGAAAAAAGGTAACTTTTTCCTGGAACCATTTGTTAAAAAACATGCATGGAGCAATTGATTCATTTTTTAAAAAATATTTTGATTCATAAGGAAATATAAAAGCTTGTCTCCAGGGTATTTTCTGACCTGTAAGTGCTATAAAGCCGGTAGATTATTCATTTAGAAAATGTGCTACATTTTACATTACGTACATACATAGAGAAGCATTCTGTCTGTGATACATTTCACTAAAAGAGACAGACCTCACTCATTGCATGGGACTGAAGGCAATCATGCTAGAATCTGTATGTAACCCACAGCTTCTTTAAGAGTGGAGTCTTCATGACCTCATACTTCCTGGCTCCTTATTCCAGCCAAGGAAAGGGCAGGTGGTTCACTGGTATTTGGCAAGACACTCCAAGTTCAAGAAGTGTTGAAGAGGTGTTTGAGAACCTGGATTAAAACGGTCTTTTTGAAACTTCGCCATAAGAGAACTCTCAACTGAACATGAAGAATGGCAGAGGGGAAACTTGAAAGCCCCTCCCACAACCCGATGACAGTGTGAAAATCATAAGAAAAGCATTGTCATGCAGAAGCACTTGCCAAAGACAATCCAGGGCTCCTGGGAAAGTATCCTTGGTCTTTGATAGAAGGTTCCACAAGGAGGAGGCAGTCAATACATGTTGCTTTTGTCTGTGTGTATTTACCCCCAGGCTTTGTGTTTTCAGAGTTAACGGAGTCTAGCTATCTCATCTCGTGAAGATTTCTGCGAGAGATTCCAGTCTCCCTCTGTGAGCCAGCTCATGGCAAATCTTAACAGATCTCCAGTCTGCTCCACTGCCTAGAGGGGACTTTGGAGGGAAAAGGGAAGACTGGTCACTCAACAGTAAATTAGTCCCCAAAGTAAAGTCAGTCCTGTGGCCCCAGCTCATCCGAACTTAACATCAGTTCATGCTTAGAACCCATCAGATACTTTAAAAAGAAAAGAAAAGAAACAACAGAGAGAAAGAAAAGAAATACAAGATGTTCACTCCCTCCCCACATCCTCCATCCCCTTAACTGTCAGGCACTGTAAAACTTAGCACACACTTCGGAGAGAGTGGCATTTCCCACTGTAGGAATGTTCCTTCCAGTGATCAGAACTCCACTTAATGAAGTGTTCCCTAAATTAAATCTACCCTTTAGGAAAGGTTACTCCCCAAACAAAATGAACAAAGAAATGCTTCTAGTCCATATAAATGTCATCCTGCCCCCCAGTAAATCTGTTTTAATCACTGTTTTTAAGAAAGCAGCCAGGCTGCGTAGGACAGGAACTCAATTACCATGTGTAGGAAGGCAACTGTGTGTGTGGGGGGGGGGGGGGGGGGGGGGGGGGGGATCATACAAAGTGTCTTTCCCTGGAGAGGCAAGACGCTATGTTCTTTTGTCCCGGTCCTCTTTCTTTTTAGGGAACTAACGTCCCACCCGTGAAGAGCGGAGGAGAAACCTGTGTTAGTGGAAGGAGCAACGTGGACGGCTTCTCCTCACTCATCTCCTCCCTGGATTTCTCACCACAGCATCATTAGAGCCTGTTCTTACTTCTCCATGTAGAGACACAGATGGAGTCCCAGGGGCCGACTCATCTTTGGAAGGCAGGAAGGAAGAGGTGAGACTGGCCCAGAGCCTGGACCATTCTGAGTGCCTCTGTCCAAGAAACAGAGGTTCTGTTTCAGCCGAGCCTCACAAACCATGATGGCCAGAGGTGCTTCACAGAAGCTGTTCTCCACGGAAGGTCCACACAGAATGTACTTTCCCAGGTCTCGAGTGGAATTCCCAGTGACTGCAGTTGCTACTAAGTCACAAGGTCCTGAATGGTGATGGACCCCAGGACTCAGACACGCTGACCCCAAACACCTCACCAAGGGTGGGTCAAATAAGGCTGTAGCCTCTCCATCCAGAGAATCTGGTTAGAAAGTGACAAGCTTCGAAGACGCCTCAAGGCTGATTCCTCACAGGCCTCTGCTTTGTGCAGGGCTTCTGCAGAGACCCCGACGACGACGTGTTTTGCAAAGCTAATGCGCAGAGGCGAGCTCCGGTGCTGCTGCTTTCTGGAATTAAGTCTTCGCGTGCTTTTCTCTCTAAAATGTGTAAATGTGTAAATTATGTTAAAACAGATTGCCGGTGCAAGTTGAAGAAATGGAAAATATGGTGTGCTCTCACGGTGAGGGGGCAGGGGTGCAGGGGCGCAGGGGTGTGGCTCACTGCCTGATGTTAAAGACAGCTTCCCAACACTTCATTCTTCGGGGTTCTGGAAGGGGTTCTTAGGAAAGGGTGATAAAATGCAAAGAAACTAGATGGCCTTTTCCAGAGCCCAGTTACAGCTAAGCCCAATCCCTTTTACAGGCACAAAAGAGTTTATGTAAATTATGCACAGTACCCAAGTCCTGCCTACGTCAGATTTAATTTCCCCAACTCACCATATTATAACCTAATAGAAAAGCTGCAGTCGCATGCCAAAGCCTGCCCCTACGGATGTTCAAGGATAAACAAAGTAACCTGTGATGTCACCATGACTCCACCACCACAGTAAGCCCCGGCGATGTAGATGTGCATGAAACGCAGGCCCTGTGACATTTTCAGGTGATTTGGTTTGATGGTGTTCCCATTTATTGTGATAAGAAGACAAGCCTGGTCTATGACAATACCGTAAAACCCTGAGATACCCCTTTCCCCAACCTAATGAACGAGCACCAGCTCTCCAGCCTCCCACAGACTGAGAAGGAAAAGCCAGAGCCAATCATTTCCACGACCTGAGATGCTCACAACATAAAAACTGAGATGAAAAGTCCATCGAGGCTGGTGCGGGGAGGGAGGGGTGGCTATGTTGGTAAAGAGATTGTTGCACAGGCTTGAGGACCTGACTTCAGATCCCAGCACCCACATGAGAGAAAGGAAGAAAGAAGGAAAGAAAGAAAAAAAAGAAAGAAAGAAGAAAAGAAAGAAAGAAAAGAAAGAAAGAAAGAAAGAAAGAAAGAAAGAAAGAAAAGAAAAAAGAAGGAAGGGAGGAAGGAAGGAAGGAGAGAAAGGGAGGAAGGAAGGGAGGGAGGGAGGGAGGAAGGAAGGAAGGAAGGAAGGAAGGAAGGAAGGAAGGAAGGAAGAAAGACGGATGAGCTGGATGTAGCAACACATGCAACACATGATTGCAGTTCCAATGAGGAGACTAGAGGGTCTCCGGGGCTCGCTGCCCCACCCTCTTAGCCAAATTGGTGAGTTCCGGGTTTTGTAACCAACTCAGTCTCAAAAACTCCATTGAGGAAGACTCCTGGCCATGACCTCTGACCTCCACATGCATACATACACACACGTGTGCACACACCCATGAACACAAACACACACATAAACCACACACGCAGAAGAAGAAACCAGAACTTACCTGGAACCATGAGAAGAGCCCCTGCATTCATCGGCCCTTAACTCGCCATCCTGTACAAATACAATGCAATTATTATTTTAAAAGTAAACTGTTTCCGCATCTGCTTAACAGCCACCTTCTCCAGATCAAAGAGCACACGTTCTGTCTTCATTTCCTTTGAAAAAGAAGTATACTCTCATTATCCAGCACACTGTCTGTCACTTAAGAGGCATTTAACAGATATAAGTAAATAAATGAAGGCACAAAGTCAGGCAGAGAGTAAGAGACCCGTTTTTAATGACAACCATCCACAATGCTCTTGGCCTCTGATTTTCTTTTCTTTTTCTTTCTTTTTTTTATTATTTATTTATTTATTTACTTACTTACTTACTTACTTGAGGATGGCTTTTACAGCCACAGACCTTTAGAGCCGTTTCTTGGGTTCATTCAGCCCTCCAGCTCAAATGCCTAAACAAGTCTGAAGGGATAATCACGACAATGAATTAATGTATTCATTGAGAAGTGTGCCTTGTGGGTTCTTTTAGTATTTCATTTTGATTGAAAGTGCATAACTGTAAATAACTCGAGGAATGATTTTTTTTAAGGCTTTGGCATACATCCTGTGTGGCAGATGTCATCCTGGCCACTTCCGTATATATCATGTCACTGTGTCATCTCTTCACAGTTTGTCAGCCCCGTCCCACCTCCTGACATCTCACTCCATAATGAAGGGCTGCGTCCAAGGTCACTGAGTTGGTGGTGAAACCGGAATTTGAATCCACGTGTGTCGCTCACGGCAACCACATAGGAATATAAAAATGAAATATTCTTTTTAAAACAACTCAAGATTCTTGCGGATCAATCACGAGTGCACCGTATTTACCCAGACGCTCTGTCAGGGAAGGCCATTTATCAGGGAACTACTTCACAAGAACTTTAAGTTTGCTTTCTCAAGTGATTGATCTCAGAGACGACTCTCATTAGATTCCTGCAAGCTATGTTTAGCAAAATGGATTATGTAATCCATTTTTTTTAAACTGAATTTTTATTATCAAATATATTTTCTAGTCAACTCGTCATGACTGAACTTTTTGATGGCTCCAACTTCAAAACTACACCTTACATAATTTTTAAATCTAGCACTAAAAAACATGTTGAGAGACATCCATTAGCATTTCGGGAGGGGAAGCATGAGGAGGCTCCTCATTCAAGGTGCCTCTGGGAAGGGGTGGAGAACAGGGGCCACAGAACGTTAAACCTCTTTAAAGCCTCTCAAGAAGGGGTGCTCACAAGTGAGTCAGATGACCCCTGGGAGCTCCAGTCTCTTGTCTGTCAGCTGGGTTAACAGACGCACACACCTTTGACACCCCTCCCCTGTCCTGCTCAGACTGTCCTGTGTGCACACAAGAAGTGGCTGCGGGGAGTTTATGAATGGCTAAAGCAAATGTCATCTCCGGGGAGGACCCATTCCACTAGAATTCGGACCAGTCCTCTGAGTGACAGGAGCAGGCCCCGCTATCCCCTAATGAGTTCTCGCTGACAGTGCCTAAAGATGTAGTCCCTTGGGGCTGGAGAGATGCTGGCTCTGTGGTTAAGAGCGTTTGTTGCTCTTCCAGTCCCCAGCACCCAGGTATGGCTGCTCACAACTGCCTGTAACTCCATTTCCAGGGGATCTGACGCCATTTTCTTCTGCCTCCATTGGCACCTGCATGCACGCACATGCACACACACACACACACACTTGAATAGATTGTGTTTGACTGTCAGTAACTCTGCAGACATGAACCCACAACGTGACAGCTCATGAGCCATTCTTGGATTGTTAATTCCAAGACCATCCTCACTTGGTCCTGAAAAAGGAAGAGTCCTCATGAGCGATCTCCTGTTCTGATTGGACTCTCATTGTTTTCTACCCAGGACAGTCTACGCGGGAGAGAGCCCCATGGTGCCTTTGTGACAGTCGGGTGTGTACTGACTACCCTGGCACCTTTCCAGCTGGGATAATTGCATTCTGCTCACCAAAAACTCCTTTAGTTTTCCCTGGAGAAGGTCTCTCTCATTTCCTGTTTGGGGCCAGCTGTGCTGGGGGGGAACAGCTGCTGCAGAGTTACTGCCCTGTGCTGGCTGTGTGTCAGCACAGGTCCTAACACCAGCCTGGGCGTTCTGAGAATCAAGACTTTGGAGAGAAGCAGTGAGGATCCAGGCATTTCCTTTGGGGGTGTACAAAAGAAAGTTTTCCTAGTAATACTTATCAGGAGGCTGGGGAGGTGACTTGCCAGGCAGGCGTGAAGACTGGGAGTCTAGATCCTCAGAACCCACGTAAGAAGCTGAATGTGGCAGTGCACATCTGTAACCCTAGCACCAATCGGAGGAGACAGACTGGTTCTTGGAGCCAGTTCACTAAACGACAGAACAGCTAAGGTGGTGAGCACTAGGTCCAGGGAAAGATGTCTCAAAAAGCAAAGTGAACAGAGATATAGGAAAACATTGGCAGCCAATCCCTGCCCTCCCACATGAACATATACACCACACACACACCCACATACATGAACACATACACATCACACATACATACATGAACACATATACCACACACACACACACACACACACACACACACACACACACACACACACGGACAATACGCCACATACACCCACATACATGAACCATACACATCACACACCCACATACATGAACACATACACATCACACACACATATACATGAACACATACACACACACATATACACACACATATATACATGAACACATACACACCACACACACACACATATACATGAACACATATACACCATACACACATATACATGAACACATATATGCATACACAGAGGGAGGATTGCCCACACACACAGCACACATATGCACAAGTTTATAAAAAATAATTTATCATGATAATAGTAATAATATTTTTCAGGAGATGTTGTAAGTTGCCACCTCTGCAACCAGGAAGCAACTCCCACTTTAGTTGTCCATATTTAAAGGTGACCTGTCAGTACAAAGTGTCTCTCAAGCTCACACTAAGAGCTAAAGTTGATAGACAATCTGGATCTCTTTCCACACTGTGATCCTGTAGATGTAGTTTTGAACGAGAACATGATGCGATTTACATGATGTTTAGCAAAAGGAACCATGTAGATGTTTGTGGCTTCACCAAGACCCCCTGTGAAGCCCCAAGCAGAAGATGAAATATGAAACCCTCTTTGTAAACTATCCAAGACACCTACCCCCAGCCCATACACTTCATATGTATACAATCAACTTTTATTGGCACTAAATTACATTCTGTGAGCACACAAGCTCTCCTATGCCAGTCTGAGTACAAAAACAGAGCTCAGAAGTGTCATTAATAAAGGGCCATGTGGTTTGAACAAGAAAAGCGCTTTTTTTCTACCAATACTAACGTTGGTGGGAGCAATGATGAAGAGAAAATATTTCACACAAAAGGATAACATCAAAATCAGAGCCATGGCTGAGCATGGTGGTGCATGCCTTTAATCCCAGTACGAGGGAGGCAGAGGCAGGTGAATCTCTGAGTTCAAGGCCAGCCTGGTCTATACAGTAAGTTCCAGGACAGCTGGGGCTACACAGAGAAACCCTGTCTCCAAAAAAAAAGGAATAAATAAATAAATAGGTAAATAAATAAATAAATAAATAAATAAATGGAGTCATGATAGGCTAAAGGTTAAAGAAAAAGGTAAAGACTTTCATTCATCCATTCATTCATTCATTCATTCACTCAGCCATTCATCTGTTTTCTACC